TAGTAATAATAGTAATAATAATATTAATAATAATAATAATAATAATAATAATAATAATAATAAACATGATTGTACCGACAACATGCCCTTTGTAAGGTAACCCAGGAGTAGGAGGAACGTGTATACGTTAAAACTGTTCGAACTTATTTAAGTCTGACTAAGCATTTAGTACAACAGCGCTTTCCGTTATATAAAATTCGAAGATATTCCTAACAAACGGTTCACTATCGATAAATCTGAGACCTCGATCGGAAGTGATCCGCTAAATTTTGCGCATAATATACAGACTGTACACAAAATACACGCATTGGGTTCTGGGCAGTTTCTTGACAAAAGATTCTCTATCCAACGAGTACATTGGAATCGTCTAGTGCGTTATGGCAAATTGAATTTAATAAATTACAAAATAAGTCGAACGGTAAATCTACATTATGAAATTTAAATAAACGCAAGATGATAATTAAACGTTACGCTAACATGGCAGCGTTCTTATGAACAAAGATTATAAATCGTATCGAGAAAATTCTAACGGCTATCACATATTATACTCCGTAAAAGTTAAATAACAAATTCACGATGTCTTCGTTAAAATTCATATTATACATTGAAGTTAAGATACAAGAAAAATTCACTGTAATATCATTGCCTTTGTAACAACAATTTAGTATTACGATTTTCTTGCAACTATGTAATATACATTCAACAAATAGACGGTTAGACAGAGTGGTAGCTATAAATCGGACATCGATATTTGGGATATTTAAATCGTTTTATAAGAAATTCTCAGATGAAACATCTATGCAAATACTGTTTTAAACAGAATTTCTACTATTACTTCCGAACGATATAAGCGCGCTTCATTTCACGGTGTCATCGTTAAAAAATCTTCTCGCTATTGCCTTTAATCGGTAAATGCTAAAAATTCGTATTAAAAAGCATTTGCATCTACAGGGAGCGCTTTTGGACACGCTCCTAAATTATGTCAGCATTCGTATACCTTCTTCGTGTATCTTTGCGTTAAATACGTTTCGTTTTCCATCGATAAGATTATATTCTTGAGAAAGCTGCCGAGAAAATTGAAATAACGTTTAAACGTACGGCATTAACTTATTGATCCTTTGACGAACAACGAATAATCGTGCGAAAATGAAAATATACAACTCACGATACCCCGATAGTATCGACGTAATCGCTTAAGGGTTTGGAAAGGTCGTCAACTTTCTAAAAATTTAAATTATAAATCACATTATTCCTTTCCTTATTCTCATATCATACACGAAGGCTTTCGTGGAAGAGCGCGAGTTTTGAATCTGCTTGATATCTTTGCACTAAGATTTTTGCAAAAATCCTATTGTTGCTAAAACGAAGCACGTTTGATTCTCGAGGTACACTAGTTGTTCATTCGCCCCCTTTAAAAGTTTAACTTCGATCTCTCTAATCTTTTTAACATTTAATCGAATTGGGAGTATTTTTAACGTATGCAATGATCCCTGATTAGCAATCCCTGTGCGGGAATATTTCAGTAAAGTATCAGCCAACTATATTCATACGCGATTCAATTGCAATGTTCTGAGATGGTGTAGGAGATAATCTTTGGTTACCCAAAAATGCCTATTAATACGATCGTCGATTACTTAGTTTCTGTATGGCGGAAGCCGTTGTAACACGTTATAATATATTTGTAGGTCATTAAATCTTACATATCAGTGACCGATTGGCCGCTTAAATTACATTTTCCATAGTTTTGTAATTTTCCGCAACATTTATATTTCTTTGTTTCTTTTTAAAGTTCATTATACTTAGGTCTTCATTTTTCAATAAATCAGTTACCAGTTTAACCCTCTCATATAAAGATTCTGTAACAATGTGTTCTTACAACTTTGTACTTGATAATTTAAGCTTTAGACAGGTGTTGAAAGCATGAAAGACACGTCATAGAAACGAAGTTCAACTAATATGCTGCTTTCCTTACAAACGTTTAATACATACAAGTTTCGCGAAACGAAATCGTTACACCTTGTTAAGTTTTACCACGCTGTGAATGATAATCAAAATGCAAACTAATAACTGTAACGGAGAATGCAGGTGAATCATGGTTAGTACGTATAGCATAGTAACGTAAATAGCAATAAGCTAAGCATACTGTTACGAAAGGAAACACTAATCTTAATTGTTAATCTGTACAGTAGTACATTAATAAATAACGTTTATAACAGTTACTTTAACGGTTCTTTACTTCAATGATAAACCGCATTTTACCGGTCGGGGTATTAAGTTTGACAACTTTACCTCTGGTATGTATAACACAGAATATAAGGAAAATTCTTTAAATCTATGAAATAGCATAATAATTCAAATTTCTATATAATAAAATAACTTGCAGTTACCATTCAAAATGTACAATAAAATTTACATATGAGAGGGTTAAAATAGAGTCGGCAAATCCGATCGTGTCACTTTTCGTGCTATTTACTCGGAGAGCCATTTCTATTCGGTGCCTTCGCACCGTCGTTATTCTTAATATCGAATCGTTTGTTCACAGAGCAAAATACCAAGGAACAGAAATGAAAGATTTCTGTTCGCTCATTTGGCCTTGAAAAAACTAGTCTTTCTTTAGATATTCTCTAAACATATAGCCTAACATAAGAGTAGAAATCTGAAATATTACATCGATGAAGATGATAGCAAAAAATAACTTTCAGTTATTTAAGCTAGAAATAGGCTATGTAAGGAGACTGTTATGCATACTCGGGAAGAACATCAATCTGGTACATGATAATAGAGGTTACGCTCTAATCAGAATCTTCTTCTATGGTTGGAGGTAACATAGCAAGATGTTGCGAACTAAGCATCCCTTTGGAAAGCGCGTACTCTGCCAGAGCACGATGACAGAAAACGTATTGGTCTGGCATTTGAATACTGTAGGCCCTCTGTGCTCGGATTTTTTCGACGGTTCCACGGATATCTACAGTTCCGGTATCTTCTAGTCGCGATATGCAAATATCTAACGTGCAAAAGGTTCCTAGAAATATAACATATAACACGCGATCAGTATTTCCATCCTCCTTCCATTCTTTCGAGCATGCGTTCGATCTAAACTCGCTAAATACCTGTCCTTCCTATTCCGGCGCTGCAATGGACAACTATAGGAGGTCCTCGCGGATGTCCGGCCCACGTATCCCCTCTACTAGCAAGTAATTTATTTTGTTGTTGTCTTACTAAGGCTAGAAACTGTAGCAGAGCCCTGGCCGATTGTGGAACACCGTAATCGGGCCACGCGGTGTACAGCATGTGGCAAACTTCTCTTGCCTCGTCAGTCTAAAATAAATACGTGTTACACGTTTATCGATTAGAAGCATCTAAATACGGAATGTATTTGTGCCTTCGTTCTTGAAAATTCAACCAGTGTACCTTGTTGTTTGTTAGAAGAAGCATCGATATCGTGTAGTCAGGATTCGTGTCTACTTCGAGGGTGGTCACGGTGAAACCTCCCGCCTGTACTTCGTCGCCCGGTTCTGGGCCCCAATATTGCGCACATTTCGTGCGCCCCCTTTCCACCACTCTAAAATTTATCAACGCGATTACTCCAACTCTTCTCGCCGAGTGTTACAACGACGTCGAGTTACAACGATTTACCTCGTAGTCATGACAACAACGAGCGTTTGTTGCTCCCAAATCATTCTCCAAAAGTCTCCACAAGTTTTCGGAAGCGGACCCTGGGTACTGATAAACGCATTCTTCTGTTTGTAACCGTCAACAAAATTGGCATTTATATAATCCGATGTGGCGTCTCCATCTATTTGCGACAAGCACACCCTACTGTGATCGTAGCAGAGCACGTCCGTATATCGGTTCTTCGATTGATTCGATCTTAACCTGAAAAATACATCGTATTAGCTTATTCCAACTATCAATGGTAATTGGGAGAGATATTCTTTCACAAATGATATCGCATACTTCGCATTATTGAAGGATCCTTCGGGTGGTCTTTTCCTAATCTCCGCATACTCGGCTATGAGTCCTGCGCGTCCTCTCGAATGAATCTCTTCGATGAGTTGCTCCATAGTAACAGCTTGAAGACCAAGATCACCGTGAAGGCTGTCGTCGTCGCTAAAACCTGAACTAGCTGAGGACGGAGGCTGAACTGGAGATGGTGCCTCATCGGTTCCCATCCAGACATCACCATTCGTAATCTCGATATCCCCGATATTCGAGATACCATTTTTCACTTTGTTCTTATCGATTATAGGACTAGTTGAGCTACTGACTGTAGTTCCATTGGGATTTTGATGAACCGTATGATTTTTCGATGTGGGCGAGAGAGGAGTACCCACTCTGGGGGTAACCTACAAATATGAGAATTTCGTGCATCATCGGTCAACAATTCCTCCGACGTATCTGTAACGCGTTAAATATATATATACACATATATGTATAAGTTATTGGAAAACTGACCTCGCAAAGTTCACCCCCACCCCTGTTTGTCATGGATTTAAGACAGTGGAGAAGCCATGCCTCATGCTGTATCTCCAATGTGCCGCCCAAACGATGCGGTAATGATTCCCGCGGGATATGTAACGTTAATTGAGGAATAGATACGGTGAATACTCTATCCCGCAATTTTTCACGCACGAATAATCGAAGGATCTTAAAGGGTGCTTTGAACCACAACGGTGCAGTCACTATTAAAACCTTTTTCAATTTTGCTGGATAACCACCCTGAAACAAGAAGACATCGCTATAATACGTATTTCATTCAAACATGGTAATTGGACATTTAAATAACGCATCGTATACACCGCACTTTGGGCCATAAAATTCTGCCTTTCCACGAATTATTAGCGTGTACCGCGAAATTAAATAATAAGCGAAGCGAGAATAATCGAATAATCGATTAGTCTACGAAGTGCGATTTATTTTTACACCACGACGCGATATATTTATATAAAAAAAGAAATAAAGAACGATAAAATAGAGGGATCGTTGGGAAAACGTGTGCCTAGCAAAGATGAAAGATATTTTAAAGAAGAAAAAAAAAAAAAAAAAAAAAAAAAAAAAAAAAAAAAAAAAATACGTGATTTATTTTCGAAATGGAGCGACTTTCAAATTTGACCTTTGCAAGACGATGCAATAATAGAACGGTATATAAACCAGGAGGTAGGTTTAGTGCCAACTGCAAGCAATCTTCGAATATATGTTTAATGCACGAAGGGGTTTCGTTTTAAAGGAAAATTACGGAATTACGTAGCACGAGTTTCGATCCAATTTAACGGTAAACCTCTGTTATAGGCTACTTATGCGTTGCATCAAGCGATGCAGAATTCAATCAAACTAGGACAAGCAATTCGCAGTACGAGGTCGACGAACATCTGAGATTTCGGATCGATAAGAGCGTAGAATTGGGAAAAAATGTTTCTCACTTGGAATCGTGTGAAATGCAGGAAACGCGACTAACTTAACCCTCGGTACCCCCAGTGGTGTATATAGAGGGCGGAAGTACCGTAACGGCAACGACGTCAGCAGCACCACTACATCTTTGCGATCTTAAGCGCACAAACCCTATTACATCGAAACCCCGCGAAAACGCGAGAAAAAGAGAAAAGTGTCAACGGTTGGAAGTTAGCTCCGAACCGATCCCGATCTCGATATTCCCGTCGAACGATCCCGCGAGCAATCGGATCGCGAGCAACTCGGCCGCAGATCGTGTTAGGTTCGTGTCCGGATCAACGGGATTACGAGGGTAATTCGGTTGGACCGATACATAGAGCACTCGGACAATGAATCGATAGATTAGAAGTTTCATTTACCGTATGTCGTGGCGAAGAGACGCAGCGTAAGGAAATATTTTATCGAGCATCGATGACAAGAGGTCGAGTTGGACGATCAAGCTATCCAAAGGACGGATCGGCCGAGCTTAAAACGTGGATTATCTTGTAAACGAAGAAAGCGTCGATGTGTACGATAAATCGAGTGCTCTTGGTAGGCTCGAGGCTCGATTAATCACCAGGTTATATCCAGCGTCGTCGAATCGATGGAATCGAAATCACTGCCGCGACACTCGGTCAGTCAATCGATAGCGTGAAATTATAATAACCGTTTCCTACGCTCGAGGATAACGTAACGTAGTTTGCATTATTTCCACGACATTTCGCGTTGCAAAGAGGTTACCTCGCGACACGAACGGAACGACGAGTGGGAAAAATGACGGCAATCCGACGGCGGAATCAGGCTGTAACTTCTTCCGAT